TCTCTCTCTCACACACACACACACACACACACACACACACACATTGGTCAAACAGCGATTGCGAAACGCAAGCACAATCATCGAGAACAAACGGAGATCGTCCAAAATACTATCTTCCAGGGCGACTACAGCAAAAGATAAGATCGAGATCGCTGCGAGATCCGTCCGGAATGACTCGTAAGCGCCGCAACACGGCAGCGCTTAGTTGATACCGAGTAAAAATATCCTTAGGAGAGCGACACGTGGCCGCTGCGCACAAGTTACGTTCGATGCTTGGACCATACTCCGATCGCTTTCTCCTGCCCGTCCGCTACCAATTCCCGCTACCTATTGCCTGAATGCTTATGACGTGATGTCGGTACACACCTATGCACACAGAACACGAACCTCCGCTGCCGTAGGACGCTGCATTGGAGAGAAAATCCACAAGCTCCAGGTGCAACTGCTACTACCGACGTAGACAACAGCTACAACCACTGTCACGAGAAGACTGATATAAAACGGCAACATGAATGATCGATAGAAAGAGAGAGAGAGAGAGAGTGAGAAAGGGACAAAAAAATACGCTGCCCAAGCAGCTGAAGATCGCGCATTGTGGCGTACAGAGGAACGTGACAGACACGTCATCGCTGCAGTTCAACTTTAAGCAGCAGATGGATGCAGGAATGTCCTTGTCGGAATTCATCAAACAATCGCCGTACTTGATCAGGAACAAGTCGGTACTCCAGCTATATCCTAGTCTGGCAGACAGACCTGAATGGGCTCTACGGTCAACAAATAACGCTTATAAATGAAGCTAATGAAAAGCTTGTAATGGCAAATAATGACGACAAATTGGGAAACAACAGCGTGCGACGATTGATTGACATCGGCATCGGTCCCCAAAATTTGCTTGCTGTCAAACTGCCCACAAGCGCATGTCAAACTGCCCACAAGTGCAATGTCGACGACAGTGCTTGCTTTGCCTAACCAAGCTGTGCCATTCATTAGCGACACGTATTGTGCGAGCGAGCGCCACAGAAACGGGAAAAAAAAAAAAAAAAAAAAAAGAAAAAGCGGAAAGAAAAAGGCAAAACGAAGAGAGGGGGGAAGGGGGAAAGCAATATGTTGTGCGTGCGTGCACATTAAGAAAGAGACACAAACCGCCTGGGATGTGCAACAGCGCAGATCTACGCGGCGGACCGCAGAGTTTCCTCTCAAAAACGGCCGATATGTCATCGTTCCACTACCTAATTCGAGTTGTGACAAGGGAAGAAGACAACGACAGTGCAGCAGCTGGTTGCTCATCTACTGACTGTCACTTCCACTACCATGAAATAGCGATGGAGAAGAGACGGCGGGGTGACAAGTGTCGTACTATTCCTATCCCCCAGCACTTCAATCCACCATGCCTAATCATGCCCCCTTCACGACACGCAAGTAATGGAAAACACCCATCAAGGAGGAAGCGTACTTACATCACACATCGAACGGCGCAATCACGACACTGCCACGCCAATACAATGTGTAGTACAAGCACACACATGCGGCCACATTATACGGCCTGCCCATCGCACAAGTCCTTACACAGGACGTTTTGGCTCCAACTATCGCACGTTTGCTACGTTCTAACGAACAACATAGCATTTCATGATTAGATACATCCATCTACTCTTCCGCTCTATTTTTGTCACAAGACGATTACTTATTACAGTTATTCACGCTCTATTCAGTCACCAAACTCTCTACCGCTTGACTACGCCCACTTACTGCTTGCGTTTTAACTCTTCTATCTACTACTCCCTGCGCACCTATCTACCTACCTGCTGCGTACCAATCTCTTTTCCTACCTGCCCTACCTATCTATCTACGTAATCGTCGGCCAGAACCCGCCTACCCACCTAGTCTATCTAGTCAGATTCCATGTCACTCAATGTCTCATGCAATCCACCTCAACATTATCCTTTTTCCTTCATCAAACAGCACACGTGCTCCATTCACCACACCACGTATTCCCCAACTATCCTTCCTTTTCCTATCGTTAGCTTTGCCTAAGGAACTCGGATCCCCCAGCTGTGCGGCGAGCTTGTACACGATCGACTGAAATGGAGGAAGTGCTATCAGAACTGACTTCGCTCGCCCCGCGCTAGAGTTCAGTCCAAAAGTTCCTCTCTCTCTCTCTCTCTCTCTCTCTCTCTCTCTCTCTCTCTCTCTCTCTCTCTCTCTCTCTCTCTCTCTCTCTCTCTCT